CGCAGCTCTCCTCCAGTAAGTCAGAGCTGGAGGAGGGCGAGCAGCTCAGCGTCCTCCCTGAGCCCAAGTGGTGCCCCGGCTCCGTCCGCAGAGCCACGTTGGAGTTTGAGGAGCGCTTGAGGCAGGAGCAAGAGCACCAGCACGTGTCCCCAGTCTGCGTCCTGCTGACCCGCAAGAACTCCAGGAACGACTCTCCTGCTGCTGAGCTGCTGCCGCAGGGGAGGACGGAGGAGCTGCCCCTGGAGTTGGCTCCGGAGGGTGGTGCGGTGCAGGGCTCCGAGGAGCTGCTGTCACTGGGTGCAGAGCAGCCTGCAGGCAGGCAGCTGCCCACACTCCTTGCGCACCCCACAGAGCCCAGCCCAGGGCAGGAGGAGCACAGGGTGGTGGTCTCGTTTGATGGCACGGAGGAGCCGGCCCTGCCTTCCCTCCTTCCCAAAAGAATCGAAATCATCGAGTTCACTCCTATGGTCAGGGCTGCCGAGAGCCCCGCTGCAGGCAATGAGCAGCCCGCAGCTCTCCCTCTGCTGGATGAAAACTTGAACCCTTCCCTGTGCTCCGAGAAGGCAGCGGCCTCTCTCAGAGCTCTGGTACACCCGCCACTGCCAGAGCACTTGGTGCAGCAGCAGCAGGCTACTTGCACCCTGCTCAGCCCCAGCGAGGAAGGCACTGCCTTGTCCTTTCCCCTCGGTGCTGCTTCCCCCTCTGCCCAGCCCTCCTGCACGCCCTCAGCCAGCCCCGACCGCTCTGCGTTGCCCTGTGTGATGCACCTGGAAGGTGTCACCGAGCAGAGCACGAGCACGGACCATGAGCCGACCACGCTGTGCGGCACTGCGGGAGCCGTGAGTCTCCCATTCAGGGACAGCAGCCAGGCTCCATGCCAGGGTGGTGCTGGCTCCTCAACCAGCCTGCACGCCGCAAACGTGGACCTTCTGGACATCTCCTTCCTGTGCTGCAGCCTGCCCCACAGCTCCAGCAGTCACAGCATGGGGGAGCGCAGCAGCAGCCCTGGGCTGGTCAAACAGCGAGCGAAGGAAATAGAGGCACGCATCCGGCACGCAGGGCTCACCACCCCCTCCCAGATGAAACGCTCGGCATCCTTGGCCAAACTGGACTGCCTGGAGCTCTCCAAGGACGACTTATCCGAGAGGGAGGCGGCCTCCCGCTGCGCCAGCCCCGTCCTCCTCACCTGCGTGGCCCTGGGTGCAGGCTTTCACGGGGCCAGGTCGGAGCAGAGCTTGGAGAGCCCGTGTGCAAAATGCCACCCGTTCTCCTCACCCTCCCTTCAGGATCCCCAACCCGCTCAGCATTTTGTAGAGCAGCTCAGAACAGCCGAGTGCATTGCGCAGAGCAGGCCGGTGGAGCGCCCGCTGGCTCAGTACGCCAAAGAGTGCGGCTCCAACCAGCACGGCTCGGCTCCCAGCTCCGCTCCCACGTGGACTGCCCCCCAGGAGGGACCCTCTGTGTTGGCAGCACCCCGACAGCAGCACGGTAGAACTCATCCGTTGAGGAGACTCAAAAAGAGCAGTGACAGAAAGCGGACAACCAATCCCCTCTATAACACCATGTGATGGTGAGCGCCGTGCTTCCAGCCGGGGAGCTGCGCCGTGATCACACGAGGGGCAGGTGTAATATAAGGAACATGCACTTTATTGGTTAATTTTATATATATATATATTGTCATCTTACCGTTCCTGGCGCATGTAGGTGTGGGTTGGTTCTTCTGTGTGTGACTCTGACTGCAGGACTGTTGGTTGGTTTTTGTTTTTTATGGGTTGTGTTTGTTTTTTTGTTTTTTTTTTTTTTTTAATGAACTCGGATAACCTCAGATGTTCTTTTTGTTGTTGGTTTGTTTTAAAAGAACACTTCTCCCTGTTGAAAACGGATGCTGGCTCACTGCAGCGGGGCAGAGGTTTGCTCGAAACCAGCTCCTAGATCCTCACTTGAATCAGCCCCGTGCCTCAAAATGGTGCTGGGCATTGGGGCGAGAGCCCACGCAACTGTGAAGGCTGTGCCAAGTCCCCTTTGTTCACTTTGTGCTGCAGGCTGGAGCTGGGTGGTGCTGGCAGGTCCTTTACAGAGCTCCATTCTGCCTGTGTGCCCCAACAGGAGCACAGGGCTGGGCTCGGGGACCCTCAGCTCTGCCCCCACCTCCTCCCCTAGCCCAGAGCCCACGACCTGGAGTGTTCTTCTAAAACAAACACCTCAGTAGGGCATGAGCCCTCCCGTTACTTGAATTCTGCTGTGGGCCTTCCACGTTCATGGCCATATCGTGTCCTCTGCCCTCTGCTGCCTCCCTGCACCCCAGAGCTGCCCCACATCCCCTCTGCAGCCCAGAGGCCGTTGTAGTTGTTACACGTTTTGTTCTCACACTGAATGCAAAAGCTTTGTCCTCTGCTGCCACTCCTGTTGTATTCAGCCTGGAGGGAGGATCTTTCCTGGAAGTTTCTGTTTTTTGCTAAATTGTATATATGGTATTTATATAGATTTTTTTGTTTGTTTGTTTCTATGTTGGTTATTATTTTGTTTCTTTTTTTTTTTTTTTTTTTTTAAGGGCAAGACTGCATTCTGTAAACTGGAAAACAACACCACTTTCCTCACCCTCAGTGCTGTCCATGGCATCTCTGCACCCAAACGCAGTGGCTTTGGCCAAATGTCTCCTCCAGCCCTGTGTTCTCTTCTGCAGCTCCTGGCCTCTCCCAGACCCACACGGTTACTCCCAGTTTCAGCCTGCTCTGCACTGCCTGGTGCCTGGCCCTGCCAGGAGCTGCAGAACGGCTCCTGCTGCTGAACGTGCAGTGCCCAGAGAGCACAGGGCAGGAGGAGCAGCAGCCCAGGCCGTGCCTGGAAAGCAGCAGCGGTGCTGCAGGCTGTGCTGAGCTCACCTCCAGCTGCAGGGCAGCTCGTGCCACCGGAGCCATGTGGGAGGATTTGCCTCTCCTGCAGCTCCTGGGCTCCTCCTGCTGCCTTGCTGCAGCCCAAGGTCCCTGTGCATGTCCTGCTGTAGCTCTGCAAGCTGCCCTAGCAGTGCTGCCCGCAGTTTGGAGCGCAGCCCGAGGGTCGGATCGCAGCGAGCCATGGCTTGCTGCGGGGCCACGTGGCTCCCAGTGGCTCCAGCTGGCCTTGGAGCCATGTGGGCAGCACAGAAAGGCCATGTGCCCTGGGGTCAGCTGTGAAGGACAGCTTCGGCCCTCACCTCCCCAGCTTTCTCCACCTAGTTTGGTCTCAGGAGAGGTGCCCTTTTTGCAGAGCAGAAACATGCTTCCTCCTACTCTGCAGAGCAGCAGTGCTGCAGAGCCGTGCTGTCCCCTTGTCCCCAGCCCAGCCTTGTTCCCTTCCAGCATTACAAAGGCGCTGAGGGGCTCTGAACCCGCTGGCAGAAGGGCTGCACGGTGCTGGGTGCTCAGCCAAAGCCACCGGGCTCAGAGCTCCCCCTGGGGCTGCGCTCCCCGTCTCTGTGCTGCCAGCTCTCCCCTTGCCGGTGGGCTTTTGGGAGGAACGCGGTGTTTGAAGGGCATTTTGTACAAAGCAGCCGTTCCTTTGGTCTCACCAAGCCCTCCCAGAGGGCGCTCAGTTGTTTACATTGACTCCTGTACAATATCTCAGCCATTGCTCCCCCCCCCTGCCCCACCTCTGCCCGTACTGTAAGTGTGAGCCTTGCACAGACGGATGGCGCCCGCGTCCACCTGGTTTTTACACTGTGTTCTGTTGCACTCTGTGGTGTGTGTGTGTGTGTGCGTGCGTCCCATCCTTCCCAAAGTCATCCCATGTACAGACCCCCCCTCGGCCCCATCCTGGAGGTGACTCCCGGTGAAAGGGAACCTACGAGGCACCATTGGGCCGCAGCACTGACATAGGGCTGCGCTCCCAGCCATTTCCCACAGCACCAAGACCCGTGCTGGTGCCTTTCCACCCCTGCCCCGATGTGCGATGTCCCTGTGCTCAGCTGTGGCTGGGGATGGAGCACACGTGGTGCCCCCCCGATGTCCCTCGGTGCCTGGGATCGTCCCTTTCCCCCACCTCCTCCCCCCATACTCCTCTAAGAGACTTTATGACCGATGTGCTCCGCTGTTTTTAAATGTGAACTCGTGCACTGATGTGCAGATTCAATGTTCTTGTTACTGAATGAATAAAAGTTTTATTTTGACGACGATGTCAGCCTGCTGCCTCCTGCTCAAGGCTGGGGGGCTCTGTGTCCCCACCCGGCCCGCTGCTGTTCCCCTGCGCCCCCGGCCCAGGTGATGCACTGAGGGTGGAGGACCCCAGCCCCAAAATCCTTCTGGGACTGTGCCCAGAGCGTGCCCAGCACTGGGGGTGTTGCAGTAGGGCTGGGGGTGCCTGGCCTCCCCTGCTGCCCCCGTGCCCATCGGAAAAAGGCTCCTGAGGTCCCCTTCCCCTTCGGGGATGTGCAGCGGGGCAGAGCTGTGCGGTGCTGTGACGATGTTGTCCCGCAGCCCCCGGGCAGATGGGTGGTGGGTGGATGTCACTTTCCCTGCTGACCCGCTCAGCACAGCCAATGCTCTGCTCGGTGCCCTTGTAGGGGCCATCGCCTGCTGCCTTTCCAGGAACCCCCTGCCCCGGCTCCCCCCCGGCCTTACGATCCCTTTAATCCCCTTTGGGCCGGTGCAGTCCCGGCTAAATCCCAACGAACATCCCGTGGGGGCGGGCGAAAGGGGGTGGAAGGGGGTGGGCATAGGGATGCTGCTCCGCCGCCGCCCCCCGCAGCGCGTATCCCCCATCCCGGTGGGTTCGGGGCGGGCAGCGCTCGGCCGGGGGCGGGCAGGGCCCGGTAAGGACAGGCGGGGCCGGGCCCCCCCTCCCCTCCTCCTCCCGGTGCCCGCAGCGGGGGGGCCGTGCCGGCCCGGCTCCGGGCTGGGCTCAGCTGTTCCCTGCGGCACTGCGCGCCCCGCGCAGCCCGACCGAGCGGAGCCGAGCCGAGCCGGGCCGTGCCGTGCCGTGCCGGGCGGAGCGGGGCCGGGGACGCGGGAGCGGGCGGAGCCGAGCGGGGCAGCAGCGGAGCGCAGGTGGGAGCGGGGTCGGTGATGGGGCCGGGGTGGGGGGAGCGGGGGGCGAGGGGACAAGAGAAGGGTGGTGGGAGCGGAACGGCGAGCCCCGGGCCCCTGGCCCCTCGTTCCGCCGGGCCCCGCCGGGAGATGGCTATAAATGGAAAGTGACCTCTGGTCGTTCCCGAGCGGCCGCTGCGGATTCAATTGTGGCAACGTAATGGCACGGCCGGGAGCGGGCTGTCCTGCCTGCACCTCGCCCGCTGCCCCTGCACCCCCTGCACGCTGCCTGCAGCCCCTCCGACCCCATCTGCCTGCACCCCTTGCACCGGTCCTGCAGCCTCTGCACCCCACCTGCACCCCACCTGCACTTCATGCACCCTCCTACACCTGCACCCCGTGCACCTGCCCCTCGCTGCACCCCACTCGTCCCGTGCCCCTGCTGCCCCTCGCCCCCCAGGCAGCCCCTCATCCCTTCCCTGTCCACATCCGCACTCCCAGCTGGCTCACTGCAGCGGGGCATCCCCACGCAGCCCCCCCAGCACTGAGGGCCTTGTCCTGGTGGTGACCATTTTGGGGACCCCCCAACTCCTGGGCAGTGCCAAAGGGGCACAAACCTGCAGGAACGGTCTGTGCTGCACCAGGCTGTGATGTCGACTGGCCCCAAAGGGCACTGTGGGGTTGTGGGGTCACCATCCCACTGTGGGGTTGTGGGGTCACCACCCCTGCAGAGCTGCAGCACTGGGAGTGACACTGGGGTCTCCAGGAGGGTCAGTGCACACCTGGCAGGGGCCGGGGTGATGGGGGTATGGGATAACCCCAATTAGATCCCCCCAGTGCAGTGCCGAGCTCCAGGCTCCTCTCCACTCTCTCTGCACATGGGGCCATGTGGCCATGCTGCCCAAAGCTCTGATGTTCTGAGTCCCCGAGGGCTGGGGAAGTGTGACCCAAGTGAGAGACCTCAGATCACTGCTCTGGGATGGGACACAAGGGGACACACGGGGATGAGCTGTGACCCAGTGCATGGCACCTCCTAATCCCCCCCCCCAGAGCTTTTTGCAGCACCGCTTTCCCGCTGTCACTACGTATGGGTCAGCTCTGGTGATGGCCACAGGGCACAGCACAGCCATGAGGATGGCATGGACATAGGACATGACATAACCATGGGGGTGGCACGGGCATAGGGCATGGCACAGCTATAGGGGATGGCACAGCCCTGGTGCGCAGCACAGCCACATCCCCACCACAAAGCAGACAGGCAGCACTGTGCCGTGGGATGCTGGTGCCCAGCAGCCACCCCAACACCCACAGCTGCCCCAGCTCCCTCTGTGGGGCGAGGATCACACCAGGTTCCATCCTGTGCTCCCATCCCACGCCATCGCCACATCCCCACACTCCCTCCAAACCTGGATGGGGATCCCTCTCAGCACGAGATCTGTGGGTGTTGAGGTCCCTGCGCCCCACTGGGGGGGCTCCACGTCCTGACCTGTGCCCCCCCAGCCATGAGCCGCCGCGTGGTGCGCCAGAGCAAGTTCCGCCACGTCTTTGGGCAGCCGGTGAAGGCCGACCAGATGTATGAGGACATCCGTGTCTCCAAGGTGACGTGGGACAGCTCCTTCTGCGCCGTCAACCCCAAATTCCTGGCCATCATTGTGGAGTCGGGTGGCGGGGGGGCCTTCATGGTCCTGCCCCTGTCCAAGGTGAGCGGAGGCGTTGGGACGGGTCCCCCATGGGTGGTACTGGGTATGGGATGTGATGAGGGGCTCTGCTCTGGGCATGGGATGTGATGACCACTCTTCATTTCTTTGCCCCCATATCCCCAACCTGTGGGGGGCTCAGGGACCCTGGGGGAGTTACTGGCACATATCCTGGGGACAACTGCAGTGACAAAGGAAACCCTCCACCCACTTTCTCCCCCGCCCCAAATCCCTGAGTGTGTGTATGTGTGTGTGCCCACCCCAACACAGGGACCAGGCCCCCTCTTGTGTCCCACACCACCACCATAGGGCACGCAGCAACCCGTTCCCAGGCATATTGCTGCCCTCTGCATCCCCATGGGGCTCAGTGCCTCAGTTTCCCCATGGCTCCCTCCGTGCTGTATCTGTGCTGTGGCTCAGGGGAGGGGTCCCAGGCTCATCCACCCCCCCCCCCCCCTCGTGCTGCAGACAGGCCGTGTGGACAAGAACCACCCACTGGTGACGGGGCACACGGCGCCCGTGCTGGACATCGACTGGTGCCCCCACAACGACAACGTCATCGCCAGCGCCTCCGAGGACACCACCGTTATGGTGAGGGGCGGGCAGTGGGGGGGGTATGGAGGGCCCCCCCCCCCTCCCTTCCCGTTGCTTTGCCGCCTGCAAAGTGTCACCGACCTATTTTTAGAGGCAGTGCCATGCGTGTGTGCTGCTGGCGGCGGCCGCCGGCTCCATGATGCAGCACTTTATGCTAAATATACCCTCCCTGCGACTCAGCACCGGGGGGGCCACATGCGGCACAATGGGGCTGTGCCCCCCCTACCCCCCTCCATCCCCCCGGCACCACGTGCTCCCTGCAGCATCAGGACGTGTATCGGAGCAGCTCTGAGGTTAATTATCCCCGTGTGTCCCCCCCACCCCCCCCAGGTGTGGCAGATCCCAGACTACGTCCCCGTGCGCAGCATCACGGAGCCGGTGGTGACGCTGGAGGGGCACTCCAAGCGCGTGGGCATCATCTGCTGGCACCCCACAGCCCGCAACGTGCTGCTGAGCGCAGGTGGGGCTCACCCCAAGTCCCGTGGGAATCAATGGTAAAACCCCAAATCCCCACTGGGGACCAATGGTAGTCCCACTCCAAGTCCCAGGAAGAACCGATGGTGATCACCCCAAGTTCCGTCAGGAACCAAAGGTGGTCACCCAAATCCGTGCTAAGGACCAACAGTGGTCACCTCCATCCCCCTAGGGACCAACAGTGGTCACCCCAAGTCCCACTGGGGACCAACAGCAGTCACCCCAAATCCCCACCGGGAACCCGTAGTGGTCACCAGTGTGGTAACACTGCCCCGATGTCCCCTGCAGGCTGTGATAACCTGGTTATCCTCTGGAACGTGGGCACGGGGGAGATGCTGCTGGCTCTGGAGGACATGCACACCGACCTCATCTACAACGTGGGCTGGAACCGCAACGGCAGCCTCCTGGTCACCACCTGCAAGGACAAGAAGGTGCGCGTCATCGACCCGCGCAAGCAGACGGTGGTGGCGGTGAGTGTCCCCAGCGTGTCCCCGTTGCCACCTCCCCACCTCGCTCCCCCCCCCCTCCCCGCTAACGGCCGACCCCACTAACCCCGTCCCTCTGTGTTTGCCTTTAACCCGCTAACGCCCAACGCAGGAGATAACCAAACCGCACGACGGCGCCCGGCCCATCCGCGCCATCTTCATGGCCGATGGCAAGATCTTCACCACCGGCTTCAGCAAGATGAGCGAGCGGCAGCTGGGCCTCTGGGACCTGGTATGGGGCCGCGCCGTGACCCACTGTGCCCCCCAGGACCTCGCGTGCCCCCCCCAGGACCCTCCTGCGCCCACCTCCATTGGAACCCAATAGCTGCAGCAGGGATGGATCCGCGCCCTCACACCCCATCCCTGCGCCACGCGCTGACTCTGTGCCCCCCATCCCCAGGAGAGGTTCGCTCCCCACGAGGGGCTGAGGCCCGTGCGGGCCATCTTCACGCGGGAAGGACACATCTTTACCACGGGCTTTACCAGGATGAGCCAGCGGGAGCTGGGGCTGTGGGACCCGGTAACGAGGCCGCATGGAGTGATGCTCCCGGGAACTCGGCTTCCCAAACCCAAATCCATTCTTCCCCAAAATATGATGCCGAGTTTCCCCGTGTGCTGTGCCCGTGTGCCGTGCAGTGCCTGGGTGTGAGGTTGGGGTGGGTGGGTGGGGGTACCCATAGGGCAGTGCAGGTAAGCAGGAATGGGGTGTGGGCATGCCGGGGGGGAGGTCCTGGGGGTGTCCCCATCCCTGTGGTGTGCAGTGCTGAATGGTGTGGCTGACAGAGGCGGGGGCCCGGCGCTCACCCTCAGCTGCATCCCTATAGAAAAACTTTGAGGAGCCCATCGCACTGCAGGAGATGGACACCAGCAATGGGGTCCTACTGCCCTTCTACGACGCCGACTCCAGCATTGTGTACCTCTGTGGAAAGGTGACCCCAGATTCCCCCCCCCCCCTACTGCACCCCCCTGCCATGGAGAGAGGTCAGGGGGCTGACAGCCCTCCCCGTATTGGCAGGGGGACAGCAGCATCCGCTACTTTGAGATCACGGACGAGGCGCCCTACGTGCACTACCTGAACACTTACAGCAGCAAAGAGCCACAGCGTGGCATGGGCTTCATGCCCAAGAGGGGACTGGATGTCAGCAAGTGTGAAATTGCCAGGTTGGGGCTGGAGGGGTCTGGGGGGGAGAGGGGGAGGGCGACAATGGGAGAGGCCATCAGACCCCAACCACCTCTGCCCCACTCAGGTTCTTCAAGCTGCACGAGCGCAAGTGTGAGCCCATCGTCATGACGGTGCCACGCAAGGTGAGCCCTCGGGCACCTCCTGAGGACAGTGGGGTTTTAGGGACAATGGGGTTTCAAGGGGGAGATTTGAGCACCCCATCTCACTGTGCCCCCACGTTGCCCCCGCAGTCAGACCTCTTCCAGGACGATCTGTACCCCGACACGCCGGGCCCTGAGCCGGCCCTGGAGGCGGATGAGTGGCTGTCAGGGAAGGACGCGGAGCCCATCCTCATCTCGCTGCGGGACGGCTACGTCCCCGTCAAGAATCGGGAGCTGAAGGTGGTCAAGAAGAACATCCTGGACACCAAACCCCCCCCCGGGCTCCCGCCGCAGCTCCACTTCCATTACCGACATCTCTGTGAGTGTCCCATCACCTCCCCAGGGGATGTGCCACCCTACAGGGACACCGGCCCATGGGGGGCATCGGCCCATGGGAACATTGGTGCATGGAGATGTTGGTCCACGGCGGATATTGACTGATGGAGATGTTGTCCCATGAGGGCCCTTGGGGATGTGGCACAGGGCTGTCCCCTTCTTCAGGGGCTGATGGCCACGGCGGGGTTCTGTATGCACAGCACCGACCCTTTGTGTCCTCCCACAGACCCCCGTCCTGGATGAGGTGCTGGAGGAGATCCGGGTGCTGAAGGAGACGGTGCAGGCGCAGGAGAAGCGCATCTCCGCTCTGGAGCACAAACTCTGCCAGTTCACCAATGGCACGGACTGAGGCACGGGTATGGGACTGCGCCCAGCCCAGCATTAAACCGCATCCCGCAGCGGGCAGGAGGCCACAGCCATGTTCTTTCCCCAGGAGCTTTTGGGGGGGGGGGGTGTCGGACTCTGGACCCCCCCACCCCTTTTTACTCCTAGGGTGCATTTGATGACTTTTATACATGGGGGTCCCTCCTGGCAGCCATGGGTGCCAGGATGGGGGTGTTGGTCCCCCTCCCAGTGCTGGGGTACGGTGCCAAACCCCACCCTGACCCCACAGCCCCTCAAAGTGGGGGCTTCATACTCCCAGCACCCCCATTAATAAAGGGCTTGGGTCTCCTGTGGCCGTACCAGGGATGTGGGGCTGCTGTGGGGGAGCCCTGCCTGCACCCCCCCGCAAACCAGGCACAGAGAGGCTCCTCTCAGAGCATTTATTGGTGTTGGCCACGGTCAGAGCTGCTCAGGCTCCCCCTGGCCCTGGCCCAGACGTCGCTTGTGGGGTGCATGGATGGGGGGAGGGGGTGCCACTATGAAAAGTCCCTTTGGGGGCAACCCCGCAGTCCCCCCCCGTGTGCAAAGAAGGAACAGCCCGGGGTGAGGAGGTGGGGGCCCAGGGTTTAGCACCATTTGATGTAAGGTTTTACCAGGGGTGGGGGGCAGTGCCCGGGATGACGGGGTGCAGCGCTGCCATGGTTGGGGGGAGCATCCGAGCAAGGCAGGGAGGGTGCAAGCACAAGATGAGGTGGTGACACCGGGCATCCCTTTGCGGGCCCCCCCTTGGTTGCCCCCTTGGCCTGGGGCGAGGCCATAGAGCCCCACATGGGCTGAGGGGTGCAGTGGGGCTGAGCCCCCCCTGTTGGCAGGCAGAGCAGCTCCCGGGTAAGTGCACTTGGTAGCGCCTGGGCAGTGGGGCCAAGGGGGGGACAGAGCCCCATGGCTCTCATGGTGTCCCCATGACTGGGGAAGAGTGTGACCCCCCGCCTCCCTGGGGTCAGATAGGGGGGGCAGCATGCAGGATACACCCCCTGTTCCCTGCCACCCCCAGTGCCCCCCAGCACTCACCCCTGCCCCGGCTACGGGGCTGATGCAGCCCCCCTATTTGTCCTCTGCACGGGCCGTCCCCCCACGCACCCCTCTGTGCCCCATACACACGTCCCCAGGCCCCGAGTCGGTGTAGGGGGGGCTCAGTGGGGTCGGGGGGTCACTTCTCCATCAGGGAGAGCTGCAAGATGCGCTGCAGCTCCTCTTCCTCCTGCCGCGTCCGCCGCTCCGCCTCCTCCTGTTCCCGCGCCGACAGCGCCATGGCCAGGCGCAGCTGCTCCGCGTAGCTGGGAAACAGCGTGCTGGGCCCCCCCCCCGCCCCCCGGCGCCGGGCTGGAGGGGGGTCTGGGGGCTGCCGTGTGCTGGGGAGTCCTGGGGAGGCACGGCCTGACCTCAGCCCGGTGCCCCAGAGGGACCCGAGGGGATGGGACCCGCTCCCACACCCTCGGACCTTACCAACCTGTCTCCCCGGCGTCCCTCGTGCGACATGGGGTGGGTGCCTGGCTTGCTGTTGGTCAGTGCTTCCCAAATGGTGACCTGGAGGAAAGGGAGGAGAGGAGGGGTCAGAGAGGGGGGTGAAATTTGGCCCCAGTGTGGCCCGTAGGGGAATGGAGCAAGCATGGATGGTGGGATGGGATGCTCCTCATGGGATCCTAGTGACTGGGGGGAGGGATGAAGAGGTGGTTTGATGAGGATGAGAAGGATGAAGATGAAAAAGATGAGGGTGTTGGGTGAGAACAACATTGGATGACGTTGAGGAAGATGAAGATGTTGGATGACATTGAGGAGGACCAAGATGTTGGATGAGGATAAGGAGAAAAGCTGGATGAGGAGAAAGAGGATTTAGGAGGAGAAGGAGGATGCTCAGAATGAGAAGGATGTTGGATGAGGAAGATGAGAATGAGGAGGACAAGGGTATTGGATGAGAAAAATGTTGGATGAGGGGGATGAGACTGAAGACACTGGATGAGAAGGATAAGATAACGTTGGATGAGGCCAAGGAAGATGAGACAGCTGAGACTGTTGGATGAGAAACATGCTGGCTGAGGAGGATGAGGAGGGGGCTCTCCCCACAGCGCCCACCTGGTCGTACTCGCTGCCTGCTTCCAGCAGGCTCTGCTGGATGGCAAACTGCAGCAAATCGTCCTCATCCTCCCGCAGAGCATCCTGGTGGGTGCCCACCACGCTGTACCCCCGTGGCACCTCAAAGAGTGCCGGGTCCATCTCACACGCCCGGCAGGACGCTGCAGGGAGACAGATGTGGCTGGGCAACCAACGCCCCTGTGCCCCCCACCCACCGCATGCCCTCGCCCCCCCCATGTACTCAGGGAGCTGGAGCTGCTGACACTGGAGGAATCGCTGCTGGGCGAGGGGGCCTCACTGCTGGGGCTGTTGCGCAGGGAGCTGACGGGCTCATCGCACCCATTGAGGTTCCCAAAGGTGATGCGGGCATTGAGGATGTGGAAGATGGGGATTTCTGCCCGTATTAAAAACAAAAGAATAACGAAACAAAGAGCGAGGAGGGAAGCTGGCTGTGTGCCCCACCGGACTGGTAAAGGCCCCCTCCCCGTGCCGTCCCCCATACCAATCTTGACAGGGAAGCCGGGCGGGAGGCGCAGAGTGATGAAGTCACGCAGCTTGGCGAAGAGCGCGTTGCTGATGGCCATCAGGTCGATGATGGGGGCCACCTGCTCACAGAGGGACAGCGGGTGGTCCTCGCACAGCCACAGCTTTGCCTTGAACCTGCAGTGGAGGGGACAGGCGCCAGGATGGGGGCCCAGGAGCCTCGCGATGGCAGCACGGTGTCGTTGGGGTCCCCTCTTCCCTCCCTGCTCGCCCCCCTCACTTCTGCGTCTTGGTGGTGAGCTCCATGGGCCGTCCCATGTCCCTGTTGCCCAGCTCGAAGTTGGGGTTGAAGTACTCCTCAGGGGTGATGGCGGTGGGGTTGGTGTGGCTCAGCGTCTGCGTGATCAGCGTCTGCGGGGACAGCGGTGCAGTGATGGTGGCAAAGCTGTGGGGGGTGGCACAGCCATGGGGACCCCCCTAGCACACTCACCCCATTGTTGGGCCCCACGTGCTGCTCAGCGATGCCCAGGAAGGACTGTAGTGGGGTCTTACTGCCTGCAAGACGGGGCGTGAGGCCGAGCACTGCAGCCCTGTGCCCACCACCGCCCCACGCGCTACCTTTGCTCTTGCCCTTGTGCTGGTCTGAGAGATGCTCCGTCCGCGTCCGTGTGATCAGCTCCACGTTGGATGCGCCGTAGACCTGTCCAAGCAGGGAGAATGTCAAAGGTTCCCCAAAAAACAGCTGTGCCCATTGCAGCTCAGCCCCCTGCCCCTCACCTTGGCCTCATACCCATTCACCATCTCTGTCTTCTCACTTCTCCAACCCAGAATCCCAGATTTGTTCCTGGGGGCGACACGGGATGCTGTCAGGGAGGGATGGGACGGGTTGGGATGAGATGGTTGGGACTGGTTGGGTGGGAATGGCTGGGATGATTTGGGATGAGATGATTGAAATGGAATGGAATGAGGTAGGAGAGGATGGGATTGGTTGGGTTGGGTTTGGATGCTTGGAGTGAAATGGGATGGGATTTATTGAGTTCAGTTAGAATGAGTTGGGTTGGGTTGAGATGGGATGGGATGGGATGAGATGGGATGGGTTGGGATGGGTTGGGATGGGTTGGGTTGGGATGGGTTGGGATGAGATGGGTTGGCATGGGTTGGGATGGGATGGGTTGGCATGGGATGGGTTGGCATGGGATGGGATGGGATGGGTTGGCATGGGATGGGATGTTCCCACTTGGGTAGCCAGATATGTGAGCAAAGGGTTGACCAGCAATGTCCCTGCCCACCTTTCAAAGGCGATGTTCTTGGTATCAAGCTGGGTGGTGACGACGGGGGCTGTGAGCCGACCCATCACCTGCTCCTCCGTGGGCTGCACAGCAGCCAGCAGCACCTCCTGGTCGTGGCCGGCCAGGGCCAGTGTCTCTGAGTAGACCACTCGCCGGTCATGGTCAATCTCCATCACCACTGCGCTGGTGTCTGTGGGGAGGGGGTGTTCAACACAGCGACAGCTGTGATCCTCCACAGCATCCCCCAGCCCCCTCCTCACCTTGTCCCCTGAAGACAAAGCTGCGGTTGCCCCGCTGCCAGGTCATATGGTCAAAGCCCAGCAGCGTGGTGTCCACCCGCAAGTTCTGGCCGCTCTTCCACACCTTGTACGTGTCACTGGGGCAGATCTTGGACACCAGTGGCACTGGGGGAAGACGGCGATAGCCCAGCCAGGGATGGGGCCACCCTGTGCCTCCCAGTGGGCTGCAAGCACACTGGGAAGCTCCCACTCCGCCCGAGCTTACCCCAGCTGGTGAACTCCCACTTCATCTCCACATAAAAGTCCTGGGCCTGCCAAGAGCAGTGGGGTGGGCAGGGGCCCAGCAGTGACGCCCCCAACCCCGAGGGCTCCCCCAGCCCCAGGTACCTTGCGCAGCTTCTCCAGCAGGATGGGGATCCCGGCCAGGCGCTTGATGGCTCTCTGGTAGTCACGGTAGCGCAGGACCAGCTGCACCAACTCGAGGTCACGGGTGCTCACGGCCTCCTGTAGCACTGCAGGTGGCACAGCACGGTGCAGCACAGTGCAGAGCGGCACGGCACAGTGGGGCACAGCACGGCACGGCACGGCGTGGTTCAATACGTGGTGTGGAATGGCACAAGGCGGCGCAACACGACGTGGTGCAGCACAGCATGGGATGGCACAGCGGGACGCAGCACGGCGCGGTGCAGCACGGCACAGTGCGACTCGTGCTCCCCTTGGGGACCAGGCTGCCCACATCGGAGGCCCCGCTCACCTGTCCAGCCGCTGCGGTTCTCTTTGCCCACATCAGCTCCATGCTTCAGCAGCACCCGGGCGCACTCCAGGTGGCCCAGCGTGGTGGCCAGGTGCAGCGGGGTGCGTCCTCGGGGGTCCAGCTGCTCGATGTCGGCCTGGTGGGGGGCATTGGAGCTCAGGGGAGGGCGGGCTGTCTACGACTCCCTTCCACAGCCGCATCTCCATCCGACACAGCCGCAAGCCGGGAGAAAGCCCCCACCTCTGTGGCTCTGGGGGGAGCCGTGGCCCAGTTGCCAGGCAGCAGCTGCCGGCAGCCCCCACCGCGGCACGGCGGGGCGACGCGGGCGCACGTGTTCCCCGCGGATCAGCAGCCGGGGGCGGGCAGTGCTGCGTGAGCGGAGCGGCTGCTGTGAGCATCCCCGGCTCCGGGGAGCCGCGCTGGGGCTGTTTGTGCCAAGCCCGGGGGTTGGCAGGGGGCCAGGCACCAGGAATCCCCCCTCCTCCCCCCCCCCCCAACACACATACACGGCTCCGGCTGTTCCCGAGGCAGCGATGCAGCCAGCACCCCATGCAGCATTGCACCCATGGGGCAGCGACCACCTGGGATGTCCCCAGCGCTGGGTGTCCCCATGGCTGCATCCCCAGGGGTCACTGGGTACTGGGGACCCCCAGGTTCCCTTTAACGGCCCCTCCGCTCCCCAGGAGCCTGCATGCTGCTCCAACACTCTCCAGGCGACTGCTGCTTCTTAATTGCACTAATGAAAAGACTCTAATTAAAGTGATTGCCCCCCAGCTGGGGGACGGGTGCTGCAGGCTCTGTGGGGTTCCCCAGCTGCATCCCTGACCCAGTGCCGTGGGGGGGGCCGGGGCCACCGATTTGGGGACGCAACATCAGAGCCAACCCCACGGGACATGGCATGACCCAATTTTTGCCATCAGCTCTGAGCCCGAGGAGGGGGGGGGGGGCACAGCTGTCTGTCCTGGGACACGTTTGGGGCAGTGGCAGTGCCGTGTGGGGCTGCAGCATGATCACCCATTGTCCCTCAGCCCCACAGGCTGTCCCCAGTGTTGGAGACTCCAGCACAGGCACAGAGTCCAGCTCCTATGGCAGCAGGGGACGCGTGGCTTTGCAGGGTGGCGGTGCCATGTGCTGCTGTCCCTGCATAGCCCTGGGGGCAGTGGGGTCCCTGCGGTGTGGAATGGGGCAGGCTGCAGCATGGGACAGTGGGGCACAATGGGGCACAATGGGCTCCATCTCAGCCACATCCTCGCGCTGTCCCCACCGCCTTTTGCCCCCCCAAGGCGGAGCCAAGCGTGGCCTGGCGCCTGGCGGTGACATTCAGCATAACCCACACGTGGCCCTTTGTGGGCTGCCAGCCCTACAGGCCCACACGTTCCAGAGGGGCCACATGTGGTGCTGCTGTCCCCACGGGGGTTCCCAGGCAGAGGACAGCAGCCCCCAGCATTGCCCTTTCAGCCCAGGGATGCTCTGATATGCAGAGGGCTGCGCTGTGTCCCCGGATGCCCCTGGGTGGAGGTGGGGGGCTCAGACCAGGCTGCACCCCCTTCTTCCCCCAAATCCCCTCCAAACCTGGGCTCAGGCCTGCAGCACCCATATCCCCTCCCATGTACCCGGCCTGCTCACAGGGTCAGCATTGCTCTCGCTCTGACAATAGGGACACAGAGGGAGGCAAGGGGGCCAGAAGATCCCCATTGAGCAGGGGGTTCACTTAGAGCATCCCCTCCCCCCAGCCAGCAGCATCCCACACTCATCTTTGAGCTGCACTGCAATGGGGAAAAATGACCCCAGATGACCACAGGTATAAACACAGTGGTGATGGGGCAGGGGAGCAATACCGGCAGACAGGCAGCTCCCCCCCCCCCCAATGCCCCCCCACAGGAAAAAGGGAGGCGGAGGGAGGAACCAGAGCCAGAAGGACACCATTGAACAACGAGTTCACTCCCCCCCGGGGGGGGGGCGCCCCCCCCCCGCCCCAGCACCGGGGGGGGCAGGTGGCAGTGACTGTGGCTGTTGGGGGGGGGGGAGGAAGGCATGGCCTCCTCCAGCGCCTGCGGTTTCCTGCGTCTTCAGGGTTGGGTTTTAATTACCTGAATTGCAACGCCAATGGGGAGATGGAGGCTGGGAGCGGGGGGAGCACACAGGGAGGGTGCCCCCACCCTGCAGAGAACCTCCTGGCTGCCTGGGGCTGGGAGCTGCGCTCCAGCAGAGCAGGGCCTTGAGAGCCCCTCCCCTACCTCCGAGGGTGGGCAGCTGGGGGGGCTGCGTTGGCTGCACCCCACCTCTGGGGAGGGAGAAGGGGGGGCTGGTGGAGGGGGGGGGGGGGGCACAGCGGCCGGGGAGGGGGCGGGGGACGGGAGGGGGGGGGGGATGTGGGGGGTTGGGAGCGGGGGGATCCGAGATGGGGGGGATCTCTGCTGCTCCGGTGGCAGCTGTCACAGTGCTGGGGGGGCACGAAAGGACCCCAACCCCCATCAGCATCACCGCGGCAGGAGGACCCCATCCTCATCCCTTTCCTCAGCCCCAGCCCCGGCCGCAGCCCAGCGTTGCATCAGCTCGAACCGAACGCCCCGCACCGCCCCGCACCGCCGCCCCACCTGCTTGGCGCTGAGCTCTCGGTCCAGTTCCCGGGCTCGGTTGTGCCAGACGAGGTAATGCAGCGGGTATCTGCCCTCCGGCCCCTTCCTGCCCGAGCAAGACGCGAGCATCCTCCGTGCATGCTGGAGCGGCGGAGCGGGGCGCGGGGCGGAGCGGGGCGCGGGGCGGGGCGGAACGGGGCGCGGAGCGGTGCGGGGCGGTGCGGGGCGGGGGGGTCGGGGGGGGTTTGTGGGAGCCGCCCGGACGGTGCTCCCCCCGCATCGCCCCCCCTCGCCGCCCGGCCTCATGGGACTTGTAGTCACCGCGCGCGGCGTCGCCCCTTCCTCCTCCTCCTCCTTTTCCTCCCCGCACCCCCCCGCCGGCTCTATGCCCCCCCCGTGTGCGGGGCTGCACAGAGACGGCTCCGTAGTGCCCGAAGGCACAACCCCAATTCTGATCCTCCCTTCCTTCCCCACAACGCGGCTCTCCCCACCCACGGGCGCTCAGCACGCGGCGCGACCCCCGCGATGAGCCCAGGGGGGTGCCGACCCCCCCCCGGCCCCGTTTCCCTTTCCGTCCTCGTCCCTCCGCTCGTGTTTTCCGGCAGCCGCCCGAGAACAATGCAAGGTTGGGACCCACGGCTGTCCCCCCCGGTCCCCCCCCGCGCCCTTATGGTGTTCCTGCAGGGTCACCCCTTTCCTTCCCTGCCCTGAGGGAGGGCTTTGGCCGCTCCCCCCCCATCCCACCCCGGGTCCCGCTGCTCCATGACGTCACGGCCATGCAGCGGTGAGGTCAGCGCCGTGCGGGTGGCAGCGTGACACGGCGGTGCTGATGGGGGTCCCCAGGGCAGGGAGTGCCCCCCGACCCCATTTACCCAAGGCCCCAGAGATACCCCCCTTCCCCCCCCCCCCCCCCCAATGTGCTGCGTTCAGCCATCGTGGGGATGGGGGTGTGAGTGGCACTGGGGTCAGGATTTGAGGTGACTGGGGCCTGGGGGGGGGGCACGGGGTGCAGGTGGGAGCAGGATGGGGTGCTGGGCTGGGAATGGGGCTGGGGCAGGGCCGGGGGGTGCCTGGAACCACAAGTGGGACATGGGCTGGGTCAGAACCGAGAGCAGGACATGGACCAAAGCTAAAACCAGCACCAGTGGATGCGCAGAGCGAGACCAGCCCAGAAGCAGAATCAGGATCAAATTGTGAGTCGGAACCAGGCCCAGAGGACGTCCAGGATCAGGGTCACTATCTGACAAGAACCAGGGGATGTCCGGGACGAGATCAGGACCAGGACAAGGTCCAAGACTAACCCAGGACCAAGACCAGGAGCAGGGGATACCCAAAACCAGGACCAGAATTAGAAGCAGGGAACAGAACCAGGACGGGGACGAGAACAAGGAGACACACAGAATCAGGATCAGAACCGGGACCAGAACCAGAGGACGATCAGAGCCAGGATGAGAACCAGGACCAGGACGGGGAGCCGACCAGGACGAACCCCGAGCCGCCCCTCAGGGCCGCCCGGCCGCAGCTCCCCCTCCAGCAGCCGGTGCGGCGCTCAGGGCGTGCCGTGCGCTGCGCTGCGCTGCGCGGGGCGGTGCGGGGCGGCGGCGCTCGGTGCTCGCGGGGCGGAGACGGCGCTGCCCCTCCTCCGCCGGGGCCGGGCCTGAGCCGCTTCCTGCGGAGCCGCCGGGGCTGCGAGCAGCCGGCAGGGCAGGCGGCAGGGAGGGCGAAGCAGCCCCGGGCCCCGCCGCCCCCCCCTTCCCTCCCCTCCCCCA